CATAGTATTCCATTGTGTGGATATACCATAATTTGGTTATCCACTCATCCGTTGATGGGCATTTAGGTTGTTTCCATCTCTTTGCTATGGTGAGTTGTGCTGTGATGAACACAGGTGTACATATATCTGTTTGTGCACTATGTCTCACCTCTTTAGGATATATTCCTAGTAATGGAATTTCTGGGTCAAATGGTACTTCTATTTTCAGTTTTTTAAGGAAACACTATACCATTTGCCACAATGGTTGTACCATTTTAAAATCCCACCAGCAGTACACAAGAGTTCCACTCTCTCCACAACCCTGCCAGCATTTGTTATTTTCTGTCCTGTTCAACTTTGCTATTATGGCTGGGGTGAGATGATATCTCATTGTTGTTTTGATTTGCATCTCTCTAATGATTAACGATCGTGAGCAATTTCACATGTGTTTGTTGGCTGCTTGTATATCTTCTTTGTTGAAGTGTCTGTTCAAGTCTTTTGCCCATTTGTGAATTGGGTTATTTACCTTTTTGGTGTTGAGGTGTTGAAGTTTTCTGTAGATTTTGGAGGTAAGTCCTTTATCAGATATGTCATAGGCAAATGTTTTCTCTCAATCTGTAGGTTCTCTTTTTACCCTTTTGACGAAATCTTTCGATGTGCACAAGAATTTAATTTTTAAAAGGTCCCAGTCATCTAGCTTCTCTTCTATCTCCTGCACATTCTGGGTTATGCTTGACAGTCTATTTATGCCATAAATTAGGGCTCCTAGATTTGCCCCTATTTTATCTTTGATGAATTTTATAGTTTTGGGTTTTACATTTAAGTCTTTGATCCAGCTTGAGTTTGTTTTTGTGTATGGGGTGAGGTATGGGTCTTGTTTCATTTTTCTACATATGGATATCCAGTTTTTCCAGCACCATTTGTTAAAGAGGCTATCTCTTCCCCATTTAATGAGGCCCTCGGTCACTTTAAATATTCAAAATGGCTGCCACGTGTAAATAATTAAAATGGCTGCGCCCTCCAGACAGCAGACAGTCCACAGCTCAGGTGGTCTCCCTCCTTGCTGTTTCCCTTCCTAGTCATAGGCCACCAGAGCAGTTGTCCCTGCAGCCCTTGGTGTCCGGAACTGATCTTTAGGTCAATTCTCAGGTCCCAAAACCACTTGGAAATCTTCAGGCTGTTGGTCTCATATAGTAGCTGACAGTCCTCAGCTCCGACCATCTCTGTACTCACTGTGTTTGTTCAGATTTTTCCATGGTTGGTGCCTAATCCACTTCTGTATAGTTCCTTTCAAAGTTCAGGGTTCTAGGAATATCTTCTGTATCTCTGTCAATTGGTTTTTCTTTTCTTTGTTGAAGAGGGTCTGTGTCGCTTGTCTGCCTATTCCTCCATCTTACCGGAAGTCCTGTATATTTTTTCTTTATTGTGTGTGTAATAAGAAGCCAGTGCAGTGTTTCAAGCAATGAAGTGATCTAATCTAATGAATGAAAAGATCACTCTGGCTGCAGTGTAGAGAATGATTTAAAGAACATCAAGATCCCTCTACTAGCTTGAAGGCTTATGAAGTATTCTGGGAGAATGGAGGTAGCTTGGCTTAGGGCTGTGAGGCTGAAAGACACATGAGATGATTAGAGAATAAAAGCAGTGGGGCTTCATGACAGACTGCGAGGTAAGTAAAAGAAAGATTTCCAGCATGGCTCCTGGGTTTCTGGTTTGCGTAACTAGGTGTATTAGCAGTGCTAAATCAGGAAACTTAAACTTTATAGCTGAATAATAATGATAGCAAACACATGTAACATTACTCCTTGTACTCTCACAATGACTCTAAGAGGTATGTACTATTATTACCCCCATTTTACAAGTTATAAAGAAACAAGGGATCCAAAAATTCTAGCTCATAATAATAATATATGGTCATAACTATTCATTCAGTTGCTTCAGTGTGAAACATGAAATTAACATAGTGCCTTAACAGTTTTCCAATTGTGTTTTCTTTTAGAACGTTAAAAGAAGGCAATGCCCTATGAAAAAAGGAAATTTAATCAGGAAATAAGTATGGCTTGGATACCGACTATCTTTTCTTTTAAATGCGTGGGTCAGATACAGACTGTGAAAAGGTCAAGGATTGGTGTCATAGAGAGGGGTTCCCAGATAGACGTATTGGAAGAGAGAGATGATAGCTGACATTTATTGGACCCTTACATGGGCAAGACACTGTTTTTAGTTCTTTATATGTATATTATCTCCTTTAATCTTCAAATGTGTAAATCACGTGACCCTTTTTTACAGATGAGAAAATTGAGACTTAACAGGGTTTAAAAATACCTGCCCAAGGTCAACAGCTAGTAAGAGGCAGAGCAGATCACTGACAATTCTGAGATATTTACCCATTTTATTACTCCACTCTGAGGAAATAAACTATATAGGCATTTCTCATTTTGCACGGTAGTACAGGACCATAAAAATGCTTGTGCAAGTGGAAACCATACGTGTTGTTGGAGGACCAGTATTATTTGTTGTTGTGTGCTGTTGAGTGGATTCTGCCTTATAGTGACCCTATAGGATAGAGTAGACCTGCCCCATAGGGTTTCCTAGGCTGTGATCTTTACAAAAGTAGATTGCCAGGTCTTTACCCTAGTGGTGCCTCTCAGTAGGTTCAAGCTGACAACCTTTCCATTAGCAGCTGAGCATTTAACTATTGTACCACCAAGGCTCTTTCCATTATTTGACTAAATGGTGGTAATTGAAATTTATGCATACCAAAATGGTGCAAAAGCAAGGACTGCCTGTGTGTGTGTGTGTGTGTGTAGTATACCCTGATTGCCTAGGTATTATTTCATTTTTCTGACTTTTTAGCTTGTCCTGGTCTATTCCCATCTTTTAAATGGATATTTATAATGTTGAACTGATTATGTGGATTTGTATTTTTAAAATTCCTAATTTTAAAAGAGCTCTGGTGGTGTAGTGGTAATGCATTTGGCTGCTAACCAGAAGGTCAGTGGTTTGAACCCACCAGCCACTACACAGGAGAAAGATGAGGCAGTCTGCTTCTGTAAAGATTTACAGTCTTGAAAATCCTATGGACCCTACTCTGGCCTATAGGGTCACTATGAGTCAGAATTGACTCAGTGGCAGTGGGTAGAAATTTGATGCCATTTTAAATTGAAAAAAAAATTCTACAAATATTCCAAATGAAAGTAGTGAAATTTAGTTATTTCTGAAAACAGTTGTGAAAATGCCCTGTCCACCCAAGCATGTCATGGACAAGCACTACCAGGTATGCTAAGCACATAACCATAATTTTCAGGCTCATAATTCAGTTTCATTTATCTCACTTATTTTTCCATTAAGTGCTCAGCTGCTAACCAAAAGGTCTGCAGTTCAAACCCACCAGCTGCTCTGCAGAAGAAAATTGTGGCAGTCTACTTCTGTAAAGATTTACAACCTTGGAAACCCTATGGATCAGTTCTACCCTGTTCTATAGGATTGCTCTGAGTTGGCATTGACTTGATGGCAGTGGGTTTGGTTTGGGCTTTGGTTATATTTGTCATAAAGATGTTTATAGGAGCCCTGGTGGTGCTGTGGTTATGCATTAAATAAATAGTTGTTGTTGTTGTTGTTAGGTGACGTCAAGTCAGCTCTAACTCATAATGACCCTAAGCAAAACAAAACAAAACACTGCCCAGTCCTGTCCCAGCCTCACAATCCTTGCTATACCTGAGCCCATCATTGCAACCACTGTGTCAATCCATCTCGTTGAGGGCCTTCCCTTTTTTCATTGACCCTTCAGTTTACCGATCATGATATCCTTCTCCAGGGAATGGTCCCTTCTGACAACATGACCAAAGTAGGTGAAATGAAGTCTAGCCATTCTCACTTCCAAGGAGCATTCTGGCTGTACTTTTTGCAGGCCAGATTTGTTAGTTCTTCTGGCAGTCCATGGCACCTTCAGTATTCTTTGCTAACATCATGACTCAAAAGCATCAACTCTTCTTCAGTGTTTCTTATTTGTTGTTCTACTTTCACATGTACATGAGATGACTGAAAACACCGTGGGTTAGGTTAGGCACACCTTAGTCTTCAAAGAGACATCTTTGCTCTTCAGCACTTTAAATAGGTCTTTTGCAGCAGATTTGCCCAGTGTAGTATGTTGTCCGATTTCTTGACTGCTGCTTTCATTTGTGTTGATTGTGGAACCAAGTAATATGAAATCTTTGACAATTTCAATCTTTTCTCCATTTATCGTGGTGCTGCTTATTGGTCCAGTTGTGAGGATTTTTGTTTTCTTTATCTTTAGGCATAATCCATACTGCAGACTATAGTCTTTAACCTTCATCAGTAAGTGCTTCAGATCATCTTCACTTTCAGCAAGCATGATTGTGTCATCGACATATCTCAGGTTGTTACTGAGTCTTCCTCTGATCCTGATGCCGTCCTTTTGTCCATATAGTCCAGATTCTCAGATTCTTTGCTCAGCATACAGATTGAATAAGTATGGTGAAAGGATAGAACCCTGACACACTCCCTTCCTGATTTTAAACCATGCAGTATCCTCTTCTGTTTGACAGCCTCCTGATCTATGTACAGGTTCCTCATGAGCACTATTAAGTGTTCTGGAATTCCCATTCTTCTTCATATTATACACAATTTGTTACGATCCACCTAATCAAATGCTTTTGCATAGTCGATAAAACACAAGTAAGCATCTTTCTGGTTTTCTTTGCTTTCAGCCACAACAACAACAAAAACAAGAAAATAGTGAGAGAGTGTGGTATTGTGTGCATGATACTGTGTGACATTCTAAGGCAGGAAGAAGGGGAAATACAACATACATAAATAACTAAAACATTGATTTATCAGAAATGAGTCATAGAAGAGAGATAGCGACCAATAAATTTCAGAGATGGGATCAAGGAATGCTTTTTGGATTAAGTGACATCTGAGTAGAACCTTGGGAAATATGTTTAAAAATGTTTTAGAGCACCCACAGCCAATCATTCTTAATTGTTTTTTCCATGCAGTATACTAGTCTAATGGATGAGATGCCTGCTTATTTTGGTGGCAGAAATAACTATTGGAGAAGATTAAGCCTCGAAAACTTTCCCAGGACAACGATGATATATGACATAGTTGATTATGCAGAATCTGGGACAATCTCAAACCGCCTACAAAAAGAAATGAAGTATCTGTCACAGAGACCAAAAACAGAAGAAATGCATCAGCACCAGCTACAGGTTGTTTCTGAAGTTAGGTAAAAGCAATCCTTCATCAAGGTCACACTATTAGGGGCATTCTTGAAAGTGTTCACATTCTGCCAAATAGCTCACTAAAGATAATAAGGGATATGGGAAAAGCGGGGTTGAGGCAGACTGCTCAAAACTTATGCAAATTTTTAAATGGAGCACTGACAAAAAGAACAATTGGTACCTGGGGAGATAACTTGGACCGTCAGATAGGCAGCATATTATGGCTGGAAGCTGCCACAGCAAATATTAAAAATATGGAACAGTAGAGTGGAAAAGATGAAAACTCTTTAATTAGAGCTGGAGCATTACACCAAGACAATGCAGATGAAAGTGGAACCTTGGGCCAGTGTGGTTGCCTTGTAAGTGGACATTGAGAGGCATTGCAATGTGCCCAGAACCAAAAGCCACCCAAGCCAGGGTAAGGGGCTGTTTCTCTCTGGGAAGAGAGCTCCAGGTGCAGGTGCTAGTTTTTATTTTCATAAATATAGCTGAAAGGGCTCTCATCGCCCATGCAGCATAGAGCTGAAAGCTTTTTCCTTTTCCGCTGAATGTTATAATTCTGGTCTTGCTCTCTGGCTCCCCTTGCCTAGGATAAACTATGTATGAATTACACTGACATTATTCCCTTCTTTACCAATAGCATGTGAACCAATTCACATTATAGAAACATACGTTGCAGCAAAACAGACTGTATTATGATCTGAAACAACAGGGACGGGGATGACTCCTCCAATTACATTCTTTTCTGTCCATTACCAAATCTCACCTAGCTCATCTGATTTACAAATTAAAAGTTACTTTCTTATGAAGAAGAGATAATAAGACTACAGGAGATCTGTTGGTAATCTATTTTCATATTTGAAATGAAAAATACTCCTTTAGTCCATGAAGAGGACACTGATGACCTAGTGTCAGGCAAACATGCTGTTTTTTTTCCCCCCCCAAGAGTAGAGATGAGTGATGCTGACCCAATAACATAATTTAGCTCATTTATTTTATGATCAAGGCTATATATTTGCCAGACAGATAGCCTGGTTTAGGGTACAGTCTGTCAGCATGAAACAGATTTTCTCTAACTCGTCAATATAAGAACTGAATATGTAACTTGAGCATATTACCACCAAGGTCAAATAAGTGATGTAATTTTCTCTGCCACAATCTATAACCCCAGGCTCACTGCTATTTGGATTCATGCTACTGATTATCCAAGAATGAATCACTTGAGTAGAGCCGAATGAGTAGCCAGATTCTAAATCAATTGAAGAGGAAAAAGTGCTTTCATAAAGCCATCTTTGAATGCAGTCTTAGTTTGGGATCTCCCTGAAGCAAACTGTGAGACAGGGATTTGAGTGTTTATTTGAGAGATGATCCCAGGAAACACTGATGGGGTCAGCAGGGGGTGGGGGTCTAGAGAAATAAAACGGAAGGGAAGGCAGCCAAAACAGGGTGTGTTGTCAAGCACATTACCACTTTGAGCAACTGGAGCTTAATCCCTCCTGGGAATGCCAGCAATAGTGTAGAGCATGCAACTCAGTTATCCCACAGGGGGCCAAGGAGTTGGGATATTTATACACTAACATCCAACAGTCATTGATTGGTTAAGGGTTCCTTAGGAAGGGAGATAGCCATTCTTGGACACTTTTGGCCTTCTGTGCAAATGGGCTCTTGTTTTCAAAGAAGGCTCTCAGGCAGAGTGATACAAACGCTGGCAGTTGGGCCTATATCCGTTGCACTGGTAAGGCCAAAGGGATGTGGGCATGATGCCAACTGTGTCTGATCCCAACATTGATTAAAAAAAAAACCCAGTTTGTTTTTTCAGCCAATATAAAATTTAAATACTTTTTTATGTAATTATGTAGTATAAAAGAACAAATAAAAGATTCAAATTACTACTACACAGTATTTTCCAGGAAAGCTGATTTAAAATTGATATCAGGCTTTATAATTTTCATCATCATTATTGTCAACATCATCATCTGTACACCTTCATAAGTGGCAGGCAAAGAACTATGCTAAGTTCATGTTCAAGCAGAAACATAACTGGCCTAAAACCTTTTAAGTGCATTGTCGTTCCAAGTATTGAGGTCTATTATGTGTTTGCTAGAGAATGCTTTAATAAAATATGGAACTTGCCTTACATTTAAATTTTACTTTGTGCCTATAATACAAAAATTTTCTAGGTCTCCTTCTTCACCTTCCTTAATTATCACACCTTTGTATCGACCCTATAAAAAAGAAAGTCAAGTAAAACATCTGGGTCGTAGATCCAAAAAAGCTCAAATGAAAGTTGAAAAAATGAGAAAAGCTTATAAGGTGGATAAAGAAGAAGATGCTTCTCCAGTGACCGTAAGTTTAACTTGTACTGAATTTATGTTTTAGAAAATATTCAAACTGCCTATAATAAGTACAATTGCTGAGCAATCCTACTTCCATGGGTAGAATTTTCCTAATCTACAAATTTAAGGATGAAACCCTTTTGGTATATACCCTGGATAGTGTAAAATTACTTTCATCTTGATCACACATTTTTTAAATTCTTAAACAATATTATTAGGTATTCTGATAAATACCAGTTGTTTTAGCTCCACATCAGCATGATTTAGTGAAGAAAAAAAAAAGTCTTTATGTTGATACTGTTAATTTAACACATCTCTGATGGTGCTTTTCTCAATTGGGAGTAATGTCTATCTAAATTCATTAAACACTATACTATTTAAAGCCTGCCTCAGTATATTTGTACACTATAGAAATATTTACAATGACATATATTCCTGTATTGCTTTATAATTAAAAAAATCTGTTATAAATATTTTGGGATGGGGCTATGAACCAAAAACCAAAATCAAACCCACTGCCATCGAGTCAATTCCAACTCGTAGTGACTCCATTGGGTTTCCAAGGCTGTAAATGTTTAGAGATGTGAGTGCCTCATCTTCATCCCACAGAGCAGCTGCTTGGTTTGAACTGCTGACCTGGTAAGCAGCAAAATGCCTTACCCACTACACCACCAGAGCTCCTTAACTATGAGCAGTCGAACATAAAACTATGAAGTAGTAATAATCAAATAGAAAACACTTTTCACTTTTATTCTTAATTCTACCTAGGAACCAGAAAAGGGCACACGACGTATAAAGAAACAGGAGATCGTTATCTCCACTCCATCTTTCGACATTGTGAGAATTGAGGAATCCACGTCAAATACGGAACAGGAAAAAGAAAAGAAGCTATTTTATGTTTGGTCTCACGACGTAGTTAAGTCTGCATCATCTTAAGGATGGCTAACTGACAGAATAACAAAGTCATTTCACAACTTGTCTGTCTACAAATGATTAGGAAATCAAATATAAATAAGCCCTTAGTATATTGTCATAACCAAATGTGCAACAGATTTTAAAGATCTTTTTTGTATTACCATAGCTGCACATATATTTTACTGAGAGAATTTTAATCTGAATAAATTATTTCAATTAGATGCCCTCAAACTAGTAGTGTACAGTTTTGTTCAAGAAATGTTGAGTCAGTCAGTCCCTGGAACTTTCATTCAATTTTTATTTTCTTTCATTAAAAAAAAAAATATCTAGACAGACCATGCTCAGCATAAATATTAGAATTCACAGAATAAAAGGCTGCTCTTCAGTCAGCCTCCAGTGTCTGTTTTTTTAGTTGCATGTTGTTTTTACAGAACAGCTTGTGAATGACCTTTTCTGAATTATAATAAAAATAATAATGAATTTGTTTCTATGGTGGGAATGACATAGCATACCTAATCATTACTGAGCATTGTAAGCACCTGTAGCAGAATGTTGCATCTGTGTTAATGTACTTTGGATATTTTTCAAAGTAGAAACACTGTTCTGAATAATAGTTACCAATTTCATTTTGAATTGATAAATTCTCATTCCTGTTATACCACAAATTATTGATTTTTTGTGTATGTGATCCAGGCTATTGGACCATAACAAACCTTACCAGGGGTTGTGGTAATTAAACCAAATGCAATTATTTACTGAACTTTAAAAATACAATTTTCCATTTTGTTTAACATTTAAAATAGCTTGATTGGTGATTTAACTCAGGCAAAGAAGCCTATAAAACAGTCTCATCCACTGCTAAAATATTCTCTCAGATGATAATATTAGAGTAAATGGGTATGATTCCCACTAGCCTGTATTCAACATACATAAATGTGCACTCTTTACTATTAATACATCCTCATTTGATATTCAAAAGTATGGATAATCCCATCATTTTCAGAGCTTGTATTACACACTAGTTGAATATAAAAACACATATTCATTTATTAAATTGGCAAGCAATTTATCCAATCAAATGCATATCAAATTCAGTCTACTCAAAATATGTGCAATGACAAAGCTAAATAATATTTCAGCTAGCAGGATGGGCAAAAGCAAAAAAGGACACCTTTTTTACCTTTATATGTTGAGTCTGAAGATGTATTTAAGGACCTTTAAGGACATCCACTTTCCATATTTCATTAGTTATAATTCATTGTAACACCTACCTACTAAGGAGACTGGGAAATGTACTCTTACTTTAATTTAGGTAGTTATGTACCAAATTATATTTTTCATTATAAGAGAAAGGGATAATGGATATTAAGGCACAACTAGCATCTCCTTCCATACAGAGATAATGTCCTCTATTGGTTCTTTTAGCTCACATTAAACAATGTAACCACATCCCAGAAATCCTTTAAAAAGCAGAACCACACATAATCCCATCATACCATACAACTGTTTTCATTCGCTTATACCTTTCCAATCTGTCTAAATGCACCCATATTTTTCACATAGTTGTAATTATAGGTAACATCTACATCTAAATTTTCACTTAATGTTACACCTTAAACACAGTCCACTTAAAAACAATATTTTGTGCACAACTGGAAGAATGTTATCAATGTCAGTGAATTATACATGTGAAAACTGTTGAATTGGAGTATGTTTTCCTGTGTACATCCTCAATGACCAAAAAACAAACTTTTGTAAATTTTATTGTGGTAAAATATGTTGTTGTTAGGTGCCGTGGAATTGTCTCCGACTCATAGCAACCCTGTGCATGACAGAACAAAACACTGCCCGGTCCCTAACCAGCTCCACAATCCTTGCTATGCTTGAGCCGATCGCTGCAGCCACTGTGTCAGTCTGTCTCATTGATGGCCTTTACCTCTTTCGTTGACCCTTCACCTTACCAAGCATGACATCCTTCTCCAGGTAATGGTCCCTTCTGACAACATGACCAAAGTAGGTGAGACGATGTCTGGCCATTCTCGCTTCCAAGGAGCATTCCAGCTGCACTTCTTCCAGGACAGATTTGT